AGATGCGGGATTCATTCCCTAAAAATTTAAAACCAGACAAGAACTACTTGCTTAACTCAAGCAGTTAAAAATAATGAAACAAAAAAAACAAAAAAGAAACATTTTAATATAGCCAAAAACTGTGTCTTTTAGATGAAACAAAAATAAAGAGATTTTTGTCTTATATGTAATTCATTCCTCAAACTTCGAAATATTGTGTCGCTCCAGTGACAAATTTGCTTGGAGAGAAGAAAGTTATAACATCGGTTCTTATAGTCTGAATACGTGAGTAGGTTGTACAAACGTTGTTAGGATCCGAATAAAACGCCCATGGATGTGCTTTTCTCAATGCCAGTTGAGACTCCATAAATTGACCCAAATTGTCGAACTTAATAACGGTGCCTGATGTACCAACTATTGTTGCTCCCCGTAGAGCCTGAAAAAATAATTTATGATTTTGTTCTAGTTGAGTGCCTGTCGTTTAAGTGTGTGCTTGTTTGAGCGAACTCCAACAAAACTGCCCCAAAACCCCCCCCCCCCTCCAACAAAACTACACACTCAAACTAATTCTACTTATGTACAAAAATTGTAAAAATATCTAAATTATAAAACAAACAAAGAAATTAATGATGAGCTGCTTTTGATGTTGATTCATTTGCAGATAATCAATGACCAATATTGGTGTATAGTCTTCTTCTGAATACTTGAGCGTCTCGAAAAATTGACCAACATCCTCGCCCAAATTAAATTTTTTTGCAACCTCACACCTTTTCAGAATTTGACCTCCCTCTTGCTTCCTAAAAATCAATAATAAAAGATTCTAAGCAACTAGTATAAATAGGGATACGTTGGAACAGGAGCCATGATGATGTAAAATTAAAATAATAAAGAGAACAACAAAATTGTTTTTATCTAAAAAAATAAATTTATTAACATAGGTATACATATGTATAAATTGTTCTAAATTAAGTTAAAATAAAATTTAAAAAATAAATAAATAATGGGGCCGAGTTGAGACATATTTTGGTTTATAAATGTTAGTTTTGGGCGTGAAGGTTTAGACAAATAAAAATTTATTTTCAATTGATACATAAGATTAATTATACATAAGTGGTGTGAGAAAATTAATAATAAATGTGTATGGGCTATTTTTTAAATTTTTACTGTTAAATTTATAATTAGACGAATTGAGTATTTTTACGCTTTGGGCATTTTGAGATGGGACGAATTTTTAGCTGGGACGAATCCAAGGTGGGACGAATCCAAGGTAGGACGAAACCTCGCCGCGCCGTTTTGGAAAATTAAAGAATGGTAATTTTTAATTTTTTTTTCAAAGTTTCTCTCAAAAATTTTTTAAAAAATTATTTTAAAATTTATTCCTTTATGTCAGCTCAAGATAAAAATCAGGAAATAATATTTGGAGACCCTCCAAACAATAAAAAAGTTTTGTCAGTTGCTGCCGACTGTTTTCAACAGGTTTTTTATTTTTAAAATAAATTTATATTTTAATAATTTTAAGGACTCGAATAATTATGCTGATACTTCTGGACGTTCTAGACTACAATTAACAGTTCCTGGGGCTGTAATTAGTTCTGCGAAAGGGTTTTTTAAATTAATTTTTATAAATACGAAGTGATTTCTTTTAAGTTTAATGCGTGGTCACGGCACTTATTTGGAAGGAGAATCTCTGCTTTCTTCTCTAGCTGGAGTTGTTATGCAAACTAACAAGTTAATACGTGTAAAACCTGTTAAATCCAGGTCTGGGAATTTTTTTAAATCTGAATAGAAATTTAATTTTTTCAAAATTTCTTTAGGTATCAAGGCGAAATTGGTGATGTAATTGTTGGAAGAATTGTAGATGTTCAACAAAAACGTTGGAGAGTCGATATAAATGCCAGAGTGCACAGCATTCTCCAATTAACTAGTGTAAATTTACCTGGCGGTGAATTGAGAAGAAAATCGATAGAAGACGAATTTATGATGAGGGAATATTTGAAGGAAGGAGATTTAGTTAGTGCTGAGGTTTAACTTTATTTTAATTTGGGTTGAAAAATTTTTAAAGATACAACAAACTTTTCATGATGGAGCTTTGTCTCTCCACACCAGAAGTCTTAAATATGGAAAATTAGGCCAAGGAATTTTGGTACGAGTCTTTCCACATTTGGTACGAAAACGAAAAACACATTTTCACAATTTACCTTTTGGTGCCTCAGTTATTTTGGGATGCAACGGGTATTTCTTTTTTATATTATTAAATATAAATTAACAATAAACCACAAATTAATCCATACCTGCAAGGGCGTGGCTAGGCGGTCGATTTCAGAGGGGGCTTCCATTTTCAGCGCCGCAGGCAAAATTATTTTTGAAAATTGGAATTTTGAATTGCGCAAACCCCTCTTCAAAATTAACCCCATTTCGGGATGGGGGGGGGAGGGGGGACCTAGCCCCAGAAGCCCCCTGGCTACGCCCTTGCATACCCGTATCATTTTTTCGTAATGTTTGACTTTATTTTTGGCGTTGAAACAAAAAATTTTATTTTTATGACGAAAACGAAAATTTGGATTCTGCCAAAAAATTTCCGATTTCGATCCCCTTCCATTTCCCTTGCTACATTTCTGATTTAATCTATGAAAATAAAATTATAAAAGATTCACAAATTAGAATAATAAAATTAGGATAATTTCAACGGTTATAATTTTCAAAACTTATTTTTAGAAATATTTGGATTTCTCGTTTGAAAGGTGTAGATGAACAAGGAACAGGTGGTTATGTAGATGATACTGAATTAGTTCCTTTTGTAACAAGAGAAATTATAGCTAGAACTGCAAATTGTATTAAATTGTGAGTTTTTTTTAATTTTTCAAATTTATTTTAAAAAATTTAAAGATTATCAAGAAATTCAATTCCTCTTTATGACACAACAATAATATTTGCATATAATGCCTCAACTCAATATAAAATTAAAGATTTGTTACAAACATCGATAGCAGATGAAGTAGCAAGTTTAGTAATTCAACAATGTGAAATGAGTATAGACGAAGATGAATTGGCTCCATTACAAATTTAAAAGGAGAAAGTATTTATTTTTTGTTATTTTTGGTTTGTTTATTAATTTTATTAAAAAAAATAAATTTAATTTTTTTTTGAATTGGGTTGATTTTTTTTGATAAAAATTGGGTTTTCCGTTTTTTTAATCGAAAATCCCGTCCGAGTCGCGTCCGAAAACCCCGGATCCGTCCGGGTTCAATATAAAAAGTATAATACCATGAGAGATATAGAGGGATTAGAAGTGAGTCCTTTTGATGCCCCTCAACAACTCTTGTTTAAAGTCACGAATGTCTAAATGCTCCACAATCTGCTTAATTTTAAACTAATTCGCATATTTCTTGCAAAATTTTATGACGAAATTTTTTTGAAAGTTCGAGTCTTAAAAGATTCGGATTTGCGGATTTTGAGCCGGAAAATACGGTCCTGATGTTTAAAAAATTAAAGATCCGGATCGGATCCGGCATCTTACAAACTTCTAACTCTAGCGTAAACCCTGAAAAAACTAGCTATTCAAAATTAAAATTTATAGCATAATTTAACGAGATTTCTTTCTCACAATCAGATGACATTTAACTCATCAAACTTCGAAAAATTGTATATCACTACTGACAAACTTGTTTTCAGAGTATAAATACATAACGGCGGTTCTTATAGTTTGCACGCGTTGAAGAGGAGACCAAGTGTTGTTCGGAGAAGAATAGAAAGCCCATGGGTGTGCATCTCTCAATTCTTGTTGAGCCTCATAAAACTGTCCAAAGTCGTCAAACTTAACAACGGTGCCTGATGTACCAACAATTGTTGCTCCTTGTTGGACCTGCAGAAAATAATTTAAGATTTTGTTACACCTCCAAAGTGGTTGATTTTAGGTTAGATAATTTTGTATTGATTTATTAAACTTGGCAAAAACGTAAGAATATCATTATTCGATCACCCAGGGATTCATAAGAAAGATTTACTCTTACATCATAAAACTAACCATAAAATTAAGTATAGTCTCCCGTTGATTTTGATTCATTCCCAAAAAGTCAATGAACAAAATAGGTTCTTGTAATTCTTCTGAGTACTCCAGCTTCTCTAAAAACTTGGCCACATCCTGTCCAAAATTGAACTTTTTTGTGACCTCACATCTTTCGAAAATTTGATGCCCTTGAGGGGGGAATCTAGAAATATTGGGAAAATTTTTATGAAGAGAAATCGAATCTCATTTTCCTAAAAATTATTTTAAAAAATTCTAAACAATTAAAAATATACGTTGGAACACAAACAACCATGATGATGATATGTCAAATCAAAATAATAAAGAAGATAAAATTGTTTTTATCTGAAAAATAAATTTTTTTAAATTTACATTATTCCATATAATGTAAATAACATTAACTTGGAGTTTTCAAAAATTGATAAAGTTTAGAAAGCAGAAAGAGCAAGGGAAAAAATTTAAAAAATTAGAAAAGAATTTTTTAGTTGACGTTTTTGGATTTTTGTTGCCCATTGATGGGAGTCGATTAGAGATCGGACATGCGGCAATATCAAATAATTTTAAAATTATTTTAAGATTAAATTGAAAATTATTTAAAATTAAAAAAATTAATATATGTGTTTTTCAGGTATCGCCTCTCAAAAGGCGATACCTGAAAAAATATCGATGAAAGTTATGTCTCTCATTCCCATGGAGCAAACTCGATTGTAATTGTAAAAATATTACAATATGAAATAAAATACTATATTCCAAAAACAAATAATTAAACACATTAATGTTTTCTTTTTTTTCAATGTTTGGGTGGAAAAAGCAATAAACATTGTATTTTTTTATTTTCACAAAGGAAAGAAAAGAGGCTTTTTATGAATATGTATAAGTTTTAGGGTAGTTTTACAATCAGACACAAACACAAAAGAGTGTGTATATTTTTATATATATGTTTGTTTGGTTCGTCGCGTCGCTGTTTTGTTTGTGAAATTCACAAATATAAAAAAAAGTCCTTAACGTCCTTCTTGTTGTTTATATGTTTTCTAATGTCTTTTTTCTAAAAAAATTTTTTTGTTGTCTCTCTCATTTATTCACACTATTTCTCTCTCTCATTTCGTTTTATGTTAAGCGTTGTTTGTTGGGCGCGTCAATGTTTGTGAGAGCTTTAATGTTGGGAGCACCTACATACTACTTACTTTTACACACAACCATTTGTGCCCAATTTTCCTCTTTTCTTTTTTCCATTTATTCACATCTCGGATTTAAACATTAAAAGCATTTTTGTTGTTGTTAAAAGGGTTTATTTAGATGAACAAAACTTGTTTTTAAAAATATTTTTCTTTTTTATTCTTTGCTGTTTGAAATGTTTTTACTCTAATTTTTTGTTTAAATTTAGAAGAAATACCGTATTTCTTCTAATAGTGCGACCGGTCGGTTTATTTTTCAATCTTCCTCTAGAGGGTCGGTTTATTAGAAGGGGTCAGTCTAATAGAGAGAGTCGCACTATTAGAAGAAATACGGTAGTTATCTCGCCTAGGATTTATATTTAAAAAGATTATTTTTCAAAATTAGAGGATTAATCCTTGCCTAATTAGTTTCTGTTCTTATAAAATTTGCCCTCTTGGGGTGCTAAAATTTTTTATTTTAAATAAATTTTTATTCAAAACATACACTAGAATGTTTATTCAAACAATTTTTTCCACTTTTTCTTATCCTCTAAATCCATTCCTGACATCTCCCCACTCCCTCCACACATCCACTACAAGCATCTCCCTCTCCCCTCAAACCCAAATCCACGCAAACATTGACACAAACGGCGCTTCTCAACATAAACTCCCCCCTCCTCTCCCCCCAAAAATATTTTTTCTCCACCCTAAAACACGCACGCATTATAACAACTCGCGCAAGAAAAAATTTTTTGGGAAGGAGGGGAGGGGGGGGGGTGAATGAGTGTTTCTCGCGCCACCCGCAATCTTCCCCTTTTATTTGCCACACAACTACTTATTAGACGTTTGCCATTTTAATTTCTTCCCTCTCAACTAAAATCCATTTATTGAAATTTTCTATCTTCATTAAAAAAATTTTTTTTTAAATTTAGCCTCTCAAATGTTTTAATTTTTATTTTAAAAGAAATTTTTTAAAAGTTTTTGTTGTCCTTTAAAATAAATTATTTCTTTATTTTTGAATTTTTTGGGGGGAAACTTTTATATGTTTGTTGTTTTGATTAAACAATTTGTTAGTTGAAATATTAGGTGTGTTTCTAATTTTTTAAAAATGATGGGAGAGAATGATTTTACTAGGGTTTTGAGTTTACTAGGCTTTTAAGTCCTCATGTTTTTGTTGCTGTTGAGATTACCTTATCTAAAATGATAAATAAAATGAAAAAACAAGGCTAGGAAGAAAAAGTTACGTTGTTGTTATTTGGATTTTCAAAATAGCCCAAAATGCGCCCAACAGTGCTAAACTTATTTAGCTCTCCCTTTCCTTCTGTTAAATGTTTCTATTGCCTAGGACTGCCAACTAAACGGATAAAATTATAAAAACAACCCGAAAAACAACCTCCCTTTTTGCCCGTTGACCCTTTACATACATAATAGAGGCTGTATTATTGGCTGCTTAAGTATTTTAGAAGTAGAAGAGTAGTAGAAGTAAATTGACAGTTTTGTGCACACACAAAATGTACACACACACAAAGCATTGAAAACATTAAAAACAACAACAATCCCCCCCTTTTTTTCCTTTCACAAACAACAGAGCCAAATGTCCGTTGGAGCGCTCATTCTCTTTTATATTTTTCAATCCTGCCACCTTCTCGTCTTGTTTTGATGTTTTTGTTATTTTTAAATTGCGAAATATAATTTTGTTTTCCCTATAAAGAGGATTCACAACAACAAAAAAAGCAGGCTTGGTAACGGATACGGATTAGGGCTGCACGCAAATGCGGATTGCGAGTTGCGGATTGCAGGTGCGGATTTTTTTAAAAAAATTGCGGATTGCGAGCCTTCTTTTCGATTGCGTGCTGCGGATTGCGAGTTGCGGAACCTTTTTTTCGATTGCGTGCAGCCCTGATACGGATATGGATACAAAAAAGTTCAAAATTCCCGCGGATATCCGTCTGTATCCGCCGTAAATACCCGGATCCGGATACCAAAATCCATGTCCTTTACCAAGTCAAAAAAAAGGTGTTTTTTTCTGATTCTAAACATTGAAATTTGAATTTTCTTGCAATTCGGATCAGAGCAGTCCGAAATTGTGGACTGCTGATTGCGGCTGAGGAAAATTTTTTTCACTTGCGGGCAGCCCTGCTTCTGATGTTTGTTTTGAAAGAAAAAATACTTTCTTTAAGGGAAAACATTTTTTCTTTATAAAAAAAGATACATAAATACATTTTCTGACCGATAATTAGGTAAAAATAAAAAATAACAAGAAAAGAGTTGTTTTCATTTTTAGTAGATCATTTTGTAGTTAGAAACATTATTTTTCTCCAAAAAACAGAAAAACAACCCTTATTTTTTTCTTCTTTTTCCCCCTTTACTTTTTAATAATGGGGAAAAAGTTAGGGGTAAACATGTAAACACATGATTGTACTATTATATACTACACATACTTAAATGTTTTTATTTTCGCCATTTTTGTGTTCTATTCCCCTATTTTTTTGTTTTTTTTTCTTTTTTTTGTCATTTTTGGGGTTGCAATTTTGGTAATTTTTTGTGATAAACATTTGAGTTATGTCTAATTTTTTGAATTTAAGAATTTTAGTTTCTGGTTAGCCTATTTCCTTCCCCATTCCTTTACCTTTATTTTCATAAGCATTTAATCTTTGCTATGTTTATGATCGTTGTTTTTAAGTTTGGAAAACTTTAAAGAAGTGAAAAAATACGGGAATTCAGCAATCTCATCTGCTGAACTCCGTCGGAGTTCAAAATTACTTATTAAATTTTCGCAATTTTTTGTTGGCATTCTGTTTATTTTTACTGTAATCCTTTAAAATTTTATTTTCAGATTTGCTAAAGTATTTATTCTTTATTTACTAATTGTCTTTAAAACATTTTTTAACCTTGTAAAAATGGTGGTAAGTTAACTTACTTAAATTTGTCTATTTTTTGTTAATTTGCTTTTTAAAAACATCTCTTTCTTTCTATTTATTTTGCTATTTTCATGATAATTTTACCGACCTTTTGTCTTCACAAAACAAAACAAAAATGAATCGTTCCGGTGTTTCTTTGAATTCTGAACAGAAAATGAAATTAATTGGTGGGGTATTTCTAGATTTTCTTTTTAAAATTCTCTAATCTTTTAGAAGCTATACATGAACGTCCACAAATTTGGGACAGTTCTTACGAAGGTTTTCGAAGCAATCCGACACGTCAGGGTGCATTCAATGAAGTTGCTGAATTGCTTTCTGAGGGCGGAACGGAAATTTTTACAAGTGAGAGAGAGAAATTTAAAAGATTTTCTTAAAAAATTAATTTTTAAGGAATTCAAGTGCAAGAAGAGTGGGGGAAACTTCGTTATTGTTTTACTCGAATAGTCAAAAAACTTTATGATGAAGGATATATTAGCCCAAACGGGACTGTTTTACAATTAAATCCGGACCATCAATTAATTACTTGGCCATATTGGCAGCCTATGAATTTTTTGTTGGAAGGAGTGGCTTTGCAATTGTGTAGTACTCGAGGGGGAGGGGGTGGAGGAAGTAATTATGGGGGAGATGATGGAGTTGGAGATGTTAACAATAAAGGGAATACACGTCAAAATAGGTGTTTTTTAATTGTTTTTGAATTGAAATTAGACAGTCGGGTTTCATTTAAATAATTCTTTCAAAATCACATCTTATAAGGGTATCACGACTTTTGCGCCGAGAACATTTGCGCCGCGACTTATGCGCCGCGACTTTTGCGCCGGGCGACTTTTGCGCCGCGACTTTAGCGCCGCGACTTTTGCGCCGGGCGACTTATGCGCCGCGACACTTGCGCCGCCATTAATTCAAAAAAAAATAAAATATTAACTACAATCGGACCTCACTTTATTGTACCCCTCGGGTTAAAAAGGGTATCCAGGAACTGAAGGAAGTTCAGGAAGTACAATAGGAGTCCGGTAGCTGATGAATTAGGTCTGGACCATAAATGATGAATTAGGTCTGGGCCTTGGAAATCCCCGGATTCGATATCACAAATGATTTATGATGTGTTTACTTTTTCAGTTCAGTAAATTAGCTAACCCTATTCCGGCATGATTCTCAGGTCCAAGATGGTGCATTATAGCGAAGGGTTGTAGGATCCGGATCCGAAAAAGGCCGGATATCCGAAGATTTTTAATGATAGTGACGGCGCAAAAGTCGCCCGGCGCAAAAGTCGCGGCGCAAATGTTCCCCGGCGCAAAAGTCGCTCGGCGCATAAGTCGCGGCGCAAAAGTCGCGGCGCAAGAGTCGCGGCGCAAATGTTCTCGGCGCAAAAGTCACGGAACCCTTATAAGGAGGGTATCTTAAATTGGTGGGATCGCTTGATGAGTTCCTAATGTCCAACCAGGTTTAAAAGAACATATCCAAAATAATGTTTTAGGGTGAAGCCCAACCGCATGCCATGTATGCTCGAGTAATTACCTTGTCTCAACTAATTGCTCCTTTTTGGTTAATGACCCCCTCCAGTGTGAGGTCGAGTAATTATTTGAGCATATATGGTAATTGATTTTAACTAAAAATCAAGTTGGGAGGGAATTCCTTGCAGGACTACTGGTCATTTCAATAATTTCTTCAATTAGTAAAAGTCTAAAAAAAATTAAAATTTTCTGTTTAATATTATTTTTAATTAAGCAGTGAGGAACCTGATACTCACAAAATTCGTCGTAGTCGAAAAGGTATGAGAGGAGGATTAACATCATCGGCAATTACTCACAAACACAACAAATTAACAAACAGTTATTTGGCTATTGAAGAAGAGTAAATAAAAATTTTTTAAAATTTCAAAAAAATTTTTTCCTTAGTTTGTCTAGTCTGTCCAACCCCAAAACTCAATCAACGAACGATTTATTAATGTCTAATTTACTCAGTTCTTTCGCTCCCCAAGATTTGCTTTTGTCTAATTTTAATGCTCTAAATGAACAATTTCACCCACAAAAAATGGAGGATGACATTGAGACAATTATTGTGGATACTGATTTAAATAAAAAATCAAAAGAAGAAAATGAAGAGTTAAAAAATGTTGAAATTGAACAACAAAATAAGCGGCAACAAAATAATATTCAAGAAAATAATGATGATGTTGTTGTTACTAATGAAAATTTGAAGGGGAAAAGGAAGAGAAAGAAGGATGATATTTATGGTATTGAAAAAGATATAGTTAAAACCTCGTTAAAAGGCACCCCCGTGAGAGCTGAAAAATCATACCTTATAACAGGCACGGGTTGAGAAAAAGTTTGGTTTCGGGTCGGAAAAGGTCCGAGTTACGGGTAACCCTTAAAATCCCTGCCTTATAATGAGGTGTTTTTTAAGTTGGGAAGGGAAGAGGGGAAGGGTGTTGTTTAGTAGATGGGAGCCAGATATATTGGGCCACCAGGTCTATAAAATAGTTTAGAACTAACGTAAACCACAATCCCGATATATCCGTCCCAATATGTCTCTCTACTATTTAGACATCTCCTCCTCCCAGTACAACCAAGTTTTGTTTAAAAACGTTTCTTGAATTGAGGGTATATTTTTTTGTGTGTGTCTTATTTTGAGTTTTGTTCATTTTTGAGGAAAATTTTTTTAAATTTTAGCCGATTCGTTGAGCGGTTTGGATTTATTACTTCGACAACGTATTGAAGTAACAAATGGACAAATTACTGCTAACGGGCATGATAACCATCAACAACAACATCAACGTCAACAACAACGTTCCTCATATTCTCCAGCACCTTTAGAACCTTCAAATACAACAAAAACTAAATTATTAAATTCAAATTCTTTGAGTGGAAGTGAAGGAAGTGGGGGAGGAGTTACTATTTGTGGTACTAATTCTGTTTGTGGAGGTGGAGGGGGAACTATTGATGATGTTAATGAATCTTTTGGTAAGAGTTTTTGAATGTGTTTTGTAAGGGGAATTGGGTGAAAAGACGTTTGAGGGATAAACTTTATTTAAATCCAAAAATGTTTTCCTTTTAATTTTTGAAAAATTTTTGCGAACAAAATACCTAAAAATATGTGTTTATCAAAAAATCTTTCTGTTCACAATAGGGTTGGGTTCGAGTCATTTTTTTCTGACCGGACCGACCGAGTCTTTTTCGGGCCAAAATTCAATGCCCGACTCGATCTTTCGGACCGTGCCGGATCGGGCCCCCAACCCTAGTCCACAAATATTCTTTTCCGACGAAAAATGACTAAAAAGTTTTTATTTCCTCGAACTCTTTCTCCCAAACTTTTTCGAAAAGATAATTTATAAATAAGCTCAAAAATCCCAAACATTAATTAACACTCACATTCCTAATCTTCTCAAGTTCAAAACTTTTTTTTATTTTAGGACGTTGTATTGTTCATCAACTCCAAATGGTTGCAAAGAAAGATGCTCTTTTATGTGTGCAAATGCGAAAAGTAAGTTTAGAAATTTGCGACTTAAAAACTAAAAAAATTTTTTTTAAAGAAATTATTGGAAGTCTGTTTTGAATATGAAATGCAAGCTTGTAAAATTTCAAAGACTGATGATTAAAATTTTAAAAACAAAAAGTCACTTTCCCTCTTTTTTTCCACTCACTTTGTGCTATTACCTTTTTTGTTTTAATTTTATTTTTGCATTTATTTTGTCACTACAATTATTTTCATTTCTCTTTTTTGATAAATTAAATATACCTCAGAAAAATTTTATTAATTGTCTCAAATAGCTTTAGCGGATCCAGGGAAATCCTGTATATCCGAACCGAGATTTACGAAAAGACTTTTTTGAATGCGGATCAGGGCTGCGCAAATTGCGGATTGTGTGGGTTTTTGGCTTGTGGACCGCGGGTTTTAAAATTAAGATTGCGGAATGCAAAAAATTTTTTTCATTTGCGTCAGCCATGAAGTGGATTCGCTAAATCTAGTACCAAAAAATATCAGAGGAGGAAAGGTGTAAAAGCCCGATAAAAAAGTATGCAGAAATTTGTCCACCAAAACCCGGTCTAGGATAATCGTCTTATCTCAGTCATTCTTACTGCTAATTCTGACAATATTTTAAAAATTCAAGAATGGATTTCTCAGCTTTAGAAATACACATTTAAAAGATTTTAATAACAAATATTAATAAACCTGTACAATAAACAAATTAAAAATTTCAAAACAATTTAGGCAGTTATTGTTTGTATTTCTTTTTTATTTTCCTGTACATTATTTTGAATTAAATCAGAATGTTGAATAGCCCATTCTGGGAGGGGTGATTCAAATGACCATCCATTTCCAGAATACCGCCAACAATGTAAAGGCATAAACCAATGACTGGAAAGAAAATTAAAAAAATATTTTCAAAGTCAACATACTCGTCAGGAAAAGGCCTTTTTTGATATGTTGCACAATTCCAACAAATAGGGTCATAACTGGGCAACTCGTCAAATTTAAGATTTAGCAAATCTAATTGATCATGTTCATACTAGAAATTAATTTTTTTTCATTAAAAATTTTTTTTCGAAAATTAAGGGAAGGACAAGCTTTTTTGTTCCCCTCCCCTCAAAAAAGTTTCTAGAAAAATTTCAGACTTTCAAAAAATCTTTTTATTTTTAACAATTTATTTATTTTTCTACCAAATCATTTTCCCCAATTTCTTCAAGTCTTTGAGCATAATCTGGATCTGATTCAGATATCCAAGATTTTTTGTCGTGTTGTTTAACAACATCAATTCTTAGCTTTAAAAGGATTAAAAAATTTTTTTTTTATATTTAGTACCTGTTCAATAGACTTTCCCCCATAATCACCTCCTTTACCCTTTAATGGACCCCAAACAAAATTATTGTAAATCGTGTCGTTGCAAATTGGAAATCCCAAATATTGGAGATGCTGAAAGATTTGTAAAATAAAAGAATTCTTTAAAAAAAAGAGGAATATTTTTAACAGAGATTTGGATCTGAATTTACTTAATACTTCTTTCTAGAGATCGGACCAAGATGAGATCTCTATCAAAAATCTCGGTTATCGAGAATCGAGATTATTTCGAGATCTCAATTCCAGTACTGCAACAAGTCCGACCCCCTACTTCTTTCTACTATATCAATCCTTTTTCGAAAAAATCAGAATATCCTTCGTAAATTTATTTATGTCTTAAGTTCTTAGACTAAAAATTCAGAATTTAAAATCTTGAAAAATAACTTGATACAAAAATAAAAAACTCACCACTCTTATTTGGTGTGTTCTTCCCGTCTCAATTTGGCATCGAATAATTGAAGTATTTTCTTGTTTATTTGCATAAAGCAACCTTAAATAAATTTAAATTTGTTAAAAATAAAAAAAAAACAAAAATACCTAAATCGACTTAAACAATCTTGTCCATCAGAATCAACACGGCGTATGCCAGTTGCTTTTGATAAAATAGAAATTGGTTGATCGCAAATAACTTCTTCACTAATAAAGAATATTATAGGTATTTTAGAGTAAAAAATTAAATTTTTAAAGAAAATAATCTCAAGAATTTTTTCTTCAGTAAATTTTATTAAATTTATTAAGGTGTGCTTTCCACGTTTAAATTAAAATTTATTTGTTAAATTTGTTTAGACTAAAAAATAATTTCGAAGGCCAAAAAATTCACCTTCATTTGCCCAATCCCTTCACCAAATTTTTTTTCTTTTTATTTAAAAATAGAATTACTTTGGAAAGATTCCATCAACTTTAGCTAAATAAATCTTTGAAACTGCTCTTTTAAGGACGTCATTTTTAAACTGAAATATTTTAATACATAAAAGAATTAAGTTTATTTTAAAAACCTTAAAATCAGTTTCATAATTTTTAGCAAACATTAATACTCCAGTTGTTTGTCTGTCAAGTCTATATAATGCTAAAAATAATTTTAAATATTTTTTGAAGCAAAAGTAAAAACGTGGGGATAAACCATTAAATATAAAGAAGAAAAAAGGAAATAATAGACCTCCTAAATTATATCCTAATTAAATCTCACCAAAAGATAAACTCCTTGAGATGAAAAAATTTGTATACCATAATGGAGGTATGGCAATCCCGGAGATTTGGGGTCCCTGCGGAAAAAATCTTAAAAATAAGACAAAGAATTTTTCTAGGCTAAAAAACATGCTGATTACGAATCTTTACTCTAGAAACATAATTTCTCCTATTTTTAAACTTTTTTCGCAGGGCCCCCAATTCTCCAAGATTGCCGGAGGTATAGTTTACATAGAAACAGCGTTTAAATAATCCTAGCTTCCCACCAAACGGTCAACAAAAATAAAAGAAACAAATCTTAAATCAAAGGAGTATCTTATAATAAAGCCTAAATAAAATTAAAAATTAACTTCTCAATTCATTCACAGCTCTCCCATATTCATTTTCCAATAAAACTTTCACTGAATTAAATCGGTAGTTGCCACCTAATTAGGAAAAAAGGGAATTAAGAATAAATAAAAATCCAAACATGGATGGACTGGCAATCCTGCAGGTTTGTTGACAACAAGAAAATCGTCTGTTTCAGCTTAATATAGTAAAATTAAAAAAAAATTGTTTAAAAAGATTAAATTACCAATAATTTTTATCGGAAGGTCTGGAATTTCATTTTCATGCTGAAAATAATTTTTAAAAATTTTAGAAAGAGAGAGAAATTTGTCAAATCCTCTATATTTATTTTCTAAAAGATTATTTTTGAAAAAAATAAGAGAATATTCCCCACTAGGATTATAAAAGTTTTTTTATAAAAACAAAATTAAAATTTTACAAAAAAATTTTAATTATACAAAACTTTTTTGAAATCCCTAAAAAACCCTGTGAAGTAAAATTTTTAAAAAGAAATTTAGAACTCTCTAATGAAAAAAATTTATGAATGAAACTTGCAGAATTTGGACAAAGAATTTTTTGGGTACACCCCAACGTACCGCAGAGCTTTAACTTCGTTCAAAATTGTCGAATCCATGACGCCCTGGTATGGTTCGATTCAGCTTGTATAGGCAATCGAACCATTCTAGAGCGTCCCGGATTCGACAATTCTTAACAAAGTTATAGCTCTGCGGTAAGTTTTTTAAGCTTACTCGCGGTAAGCTCCCAATTTTTAAAAAATTTAAATGGCCAAATTCACCAAATTCCAATTTTTAAATTGGGCATTCAATTCAAAATAAAAAAAACTAAACTAACCCGGTGGACTAGATGATTAAATTTGTCATTATTTCTAATCCTATATTGTGGATTAGTCATTTGAATTCCATTAATAAATAAACGTCCTTTTCTAATCGCTGCTATAGCATATAGAGGATGATAACCAATAAATTCTTTTTGGAAAACTTCACAAATTTCTCGTCCAATCCAGCGTTGTTTGGCAAATCCATTAAATAAGTCCCAATAGGGTTGAAGGTATCGAACACATAAAATGATATTTTTTAAATAAATCTAATGTAAATACAAACCATTTTTAATTGTTACTTTAATTTCATCATAAGGGAAAATTCTCATATCAGTCTTTTTTGCTTTCTTCTTAACTGGTTCATCCAAACTAAAAATTAAATTTTTTAAATATAAAAACATTATGTCTGGGTGAATAGGTAGAGTCAAATTGAAGAAGGGAGAAAGTCTGGCCACTACGAACAATTTGGAAAATTAAAAGATGTCCGCAAAACACGTAGGGGATAACGTAGTACCGATTTTTAAAATCAGACACTCTTAAAACCCCCAATTTAGGTAAAATACTCGTCCCATTTCACTTTTTAGCGTCTAATACCTCAGGACAACAACTATTCTAAAGTTTAAAAAAAATTAAAAAAACCTTTCAGTTTCTCCACAATTCTCCAATTTACTTGTAGAGGCAATTTTGAAAATTCGGAAAATTTTTTTTGACCTTATTATCCTAAAAATAAAAAATCATTAAAAAATAAATTCAAAATAAATTTATCAACAAAATTGAATTTTGGGTATTTTTTGCAGATAAATTTTAACGTTTAACGCTTGCGTTTTGCGTAAATATTTTTGCGTAGTTTTGGCCTTGCGTCGTTTTGGCCTGCGTTGTTTCGGTCGGGATACGTCCAAGTAGGCGCGCGGCCATAACGGCACAAAGCTACATATAATTTTCAGGAAAATTTCTGGCCCTTATCAATTTTAAAACCAATCCTTTAAGCTCGATGAGAGGAATCGTTTAATACTAAATTTGGTAAAAATCTGGAATCTTGAAGCAAGTTTTGGCTTTGCGCCGTTATGGCCGCGCGCCTAATTGGGCTGTACCCCTTTTCGGTCGCGTAGTTTTGGCCCGCGTTGTTTTGGGCTGTACCCTCCCGTTTAACCGCCGCGCAAACTTTATTGAAGAAAGGTTGGACAACGATTAAAGATTTTCTAAGATAATTTGAAGAATGGGTATCTGGGATCAATTCTACGAGAAAGCCAAGTCCTTTTTTACTACAAGTGATGAACCCAGTGCTAGTACAGAGCCGCCAAAAGTATTTTAATTTACTCAATTTATTATTTTTATTTTTTAAATTTAACAGCCTCGTTGCTATTATGAATTATTGGAAGTCGAAAGAAATGCCACAGATGATGAAATTAAAAAATCATTTAAAAAACTTGCTTTGCGTTGGCATCCTGATAAAAATCCTGGAAGAGAGGAGGAATGCGCTGCTTATTTTATTTTAATTCAGGTTTTTCCCGATAACTTCTTTTAATTTTAAAAATAATTTAGCAAGCCTATGAAGTACTCGTTGATCCCCAAGAAAGGGCATTTTATGATAGACATCGCGAAAATATTATTTATGCTGGTGTTGGTAGGGGGTTTTGAAATGTTTTGTAATTTTATCTTTAATTTTTAGATTCTCAGCAGGAGAAAGTTGACACAGGTGTTAAACTCGAGCCATTCAGGAGCACTTCTTGTTGGCAACACATGTTTACAAGTGAAGAGGAGTGTGTTGAGGTTTTTATTTTTTTGTGGATTTTAATTAAAATGTTTATTTGGTTAGAATAACTAAATCTAGTTATTTCCGTGTCTGGCTAACTCAAGGAACAGACAAATCAAGGAACGACCAAATCATGGAATATTTTAAAAATCAGAATTTTTTGAAAAAACTGATTTTTCAGATTTTTTTAAAATTCTTTTTTTAATTATTCTAGTTTGTTTTTAAATTCTTAATTTTTAAAAATATTCATATTTTTCAAAAATGCTGATTTTTAAAATATTCCATGATTTGGTCGTTCCTTGACCTGTCTTTTCCTTGACTTGTCTGTTCCTTGAGTTAGCCCCCACCCGTTATTTTTACTAAAATTATGTTTTATAATTTTTACAGAAATTTTATTCTGTATATCGCGATCTTTTCCATCAACTGGCTGCAGAAGAGTATGCTTATATTGATGACCCTGAAGATAGAAATTATCCTGTTTTTGGCACTCTAAATAGCGATTATGAAACTGTTTGTTTTTTAACTAAAAATGTTTTTACATTTTTGTTTTTCAGGTTGTCGCCCCATTCTACGCATTTTGGTTAAATTTTTCAACTCGTCGTTCCTTTGCTTGGCTAGATAAATATAATTTGAGAGAAGCTGATGATAGACATACTGCTCGTTATATGGAAAGGGAAAACAGAAGGGAAAGGACACAAGGCAGGAAAAAAAGAAATGAAGAAGTTCAGGTTAATTTTAAAATAAAAATTTTTTTCTTTTGAAACGAGGCCGTATCTGGGTGATTGGGCCAAAAAAATTTATTTTTAGTTCCCACCCTGAAATTTTTCTATCCTTCGTTGTTAAATATTAGCATAAAAATAAGAGAAATTTATTTTTAGAGATTAGTGGAATTTGTACGTAAACATGACAAACGTGTTGAAGTCGCTAGACAACGTCAAGCTGAAAGAAATGCTTTTATCATGAAAAAAGTTGAAGAACAGCAACGACAAGCTATTAGAAAAAATTTGGAGTAATAAATATTTTTTTTTAGTTATTTGATCACTCTTTTTTATTTTAGAGGCCTAAAGAACTTTGAAATCGACACGGAAATTCAGAAAGAACATTTAATGGATCTTGAACAAATTGAGGCTGAATTGGATGCTGCTTTTGGTATTGTTGAGAATAAAAAACATGAAAATGAAGGAGCTAGTGATGAGGAAAACCTTTCTGATGAAGATGACGAAGAGCAGTTTTATTGTATTGTTTGTGAAAAGTCTTTCAAATCAAGGTTAATTTTTGCCTTTTTTTTCTGGTAAAAATGCAATGTTCGATGCATTTTTTCCAAGCTGGGCCGAGTTTTACGATCTTTTTCGAGTTAAGCCGCTATGTCGACTGCTGTGTCTTAACTCGACGATCTGGCAACCTCTGCTCTTGTATTTTAAACAAAGTTTACAACTCCTCGTCTTCTGATTTATTTTGATCTGAGTTTCTTAAGTTCTACCTTTCCACCAATCTTTTAATTTTTTATTCAATTAATTTTTTCTAATTAAAGAAATGTTCTGGAAAGCCATCAACGCTCAAAAAAGCATCGCCAAATGGCCGAATTATTAAAAATTCACATGTGTGAGGAAGATCAGAAGCTCTTTGATGGTGCTCAAAATCAACATTCTGATGATGAAAATGTTGAAGAAAAGACAAAAGAAAATAAAAAGACGAAAAAGAAAAAGGAAAAGAACGAGCCTAAAATAAATATAGAAGAAGAAGAAAATTCTAATAAAAATATTGAAGAAATTGGTAATAATGAAGAGGAGGAAGGTCAAAAAGAAGACGAGTTAACTGAACAGGAAAATAATATCCCTAAAAAGATGACAAAAACAGCAAAAAGGAAAGCTGCTAAACAGGCACTAAAAACTGAGGTAATCCTTGGGACAACCCTGAAGACCTTCAACTTTTGATAGGAATGTAGAGGTATTAAGGGTATATGGAGATAAGTACCCAGTTTAGAACTGGGTAACTTTTTTTAGAATTCTAGAACCGATGGTCTGGTATCGTGAATAACTCCTGGGTGAATCTCTATCCTTTTCATTCACACCAAATCCATCGATAACCCCTTAATTCCCACCAAATTCCTCAATATTCTTGATGTTCCCTTTCAAAAGGTGTACGTCTTTAGATTCAATAGATCTTTAGGATGGACTCTAATCTGTTAATTATAAAGATTGTAAATGTTCTCTTTTCACTTTAATTTTCTTTAATTATTTTTTTAGCAAAAGAAACCACTTCCATCAGGCCCTGTTGCCTGTGAATGTCACACTTGTGGTGAAGAATTTGATTCTAAAAGTAAACTTCACATTCATCTAAAACAAAGTGGGCATGCGATAATTAAAAGTGTTGTTAATCCTCCAGTAACTTTTGGAACAAATAAAAAAGCAGAAATGAAAAAATCAAAGAAAAAGTGATAATTTAATTATATTTACTTGTCTTTTTCCCATTTACTATTTTACTTTTTCTGGGCTTTTCTCTGTATATTAGGGCTATATTCTAAAATTTTATTTGCTTCAAATTTATTTTCCAAAAATACCCAAAATTCTATCTTTGTTGATAAATTTATTTTGAATTTATTTTTTAATGATTATATTTGAGTTTTTAACTTTAAATATTAATAATTATTTATTTCTTTTATTTTTTTAAATAATAAAGGTTTATATAAATTCAAAATTGCCTCTACAAGTAAATTGGAGAATTGTGGACTTCAATAATTCGCTGCCAAATTGAGACGGGAAGAACACATCAAATAAGAGTGGTAAGGTTTATATTTTTAGTATTAAGGAATTTTTAGCATTTCTAGCCTAAGAACTTGAAGTAGACATAATAAATTTGCGCAGATATTCTGATTTTTGAAAAAAAAGCATAGATATAATAGAAAGAAGTAAGGACCGGACTCGTGCAACACGGGAATCTCTCGATAACCGAGATTTTCGATCAAGATCCCGTCTCGGTCCGATCTTTAGAAAGATGTATTAAGTAGATTCGGATCCAAATCTCTGTTAAAAATATTCTCTTATTTAAAAAATTCTTTTATTTTACAAATCTTTTTTTTAGCATCTCCAATATTTGGGATTTCCAATTTGCAACGACACAATTTACAATAACTTTGTTTGGGGTCCATTAAAGGGTAAAGGAGGTGATTATGGGGGAAAGTCTATTGAACAGGTACTAAATATAAAAATTATTTTTTTAATTTTGTCCTTTTTAAAGTTAAGAATTGATGTTGTTAAACAACACGACAAAAAATCTTGGATATGTGAATCAGATCCAGATTATGCTCAAAGACTTAAAGAAATTGGGGAAAATGATTTGGTAGAAAAATTTTTTATTTTTGAGGGATGAAGAAGAACAAAACAATTTCTGATATTTTAGATAAAAAATCTTTTAAATTAAAAAAATTTTTAGTATCAACTAAAACTTTATCATCAACGTGATGCCAAACCCCAGTTTTGGCATTTTTAGCTTTTGTAGGGTCTCCGTGATGCTACTAAAATAACAACAAATATAACTAGAAAAGTTTTCTTAATTACCATTATAGCATACAGGTCGTAAAGCATATTTGCTTTTCCAATTCCCTTGTCTAGCGACTCGTTGTGCACAAAGGATGGCATATCCAGCGATTTGAGAGGAAACACTATTAAACGACAATCTTTTGTTCCATCACTATAGTAAATAAATTATTGAATTAGGCACTAATTTTTATTAATTTTAATTATTTACCTTTTCCCTCTACCCAAATGAATAATCAAAATCCTTGGTAGTCGCCAAATAAAGTTTGATGTTGGCACATCAGTTTTTCTACATTGTTCACATTTTTCTATGCTTAGCTATAATTAATTTGCAGTAAATTTACAGTTAATTTATTAATTTACAGTTAATTTTAGCCTAAGCAATGTAGAAAAACTGATGTGCCAACATCAAACTTTATTTGGCGACTACCAAAGATTTTGATTATTCATTTGGGTAGAGGGAAAAGGTAAATAATTAAAATTAATAAAAATTAGTGCCTAATTCAATAATTTATTTACTATAGTGATGGAACAAAAGATTGTCGTTTAATAGTGTTTCCTCTCAAATCGCTGGATATGCCATCCTTTGTGCACAACGAGTCGCTAGACAAGGGAATTGGAAAAGCAAATATGCTTAATTTATTATTTTTATTTTTTAAATTTAACAGCCTCGTTGCTATTATGAATTATTGGAAGTCGAAAGAAATGCCACAGATGATGAAATTAAAAAATCATTTAAAAAACTTGCTTTGCGTTGGCATCCTGATAAAAATCCTGGAAGAGAGGAGGAATGCGCTGCTTATTTTATTTTAATTCAGGTTTTTCCCGATAACTTCTTTTAATTTTAAAAATAATTTAGCAAGCCTATGAAGTACTCGTTGATCCCCAAGAAAGGGCATTTTATGATAGACATCGCGAAAATATTATTTATGCTGGTGTTGGTAGGGGGTTTTGAAATGTTTTGTAATTTTATCTTTAATTTTTAGATTCTCAGCAGGAGAAAGTTGACACAGGTGTTAAACTCGAGCCATTCAGGAGCACTTCTTGTTGGCAACACATGTTTACAAGTGAAGAGGAGTGTGTTGAGGTTTTTATTTTTTTGTGGATTTTAATTAAAATGTTTATTTGGTTAGAATAACTAAATCTAGTTATTTCCGTGTCTGGCTAACTCAAGGAACAGACAAATCAAGGAACGACCAAATCATGGAATATTTTAAAAATCAGAATTTTTTGAAAAAACTGATTTTTCAGATTTTTTTAAAATTCTTTTTTTAATTATTCTAGTTTGTTTTTAAATTCTTAATTTTTAAAAATATTCATATTTTTCAAAAATGCTGATTTTTAAAATATTCCATGATTTGGTCGTTCCTTGACCTGTCTTTTCCTTGACTTGTCTGTTCCTTGAGTTAGCCCCCACCCGTTATTTTTACTAAAATTATGTTTTATAATTTTTACAGAAATTTTATTCTGTATATCGCGATCTTTTCCATCAACTGGCTGCAGAAGAGTATGCTTATATTGATGACCCTGAAGATAGAAATTATCCTGTTTTTGGCACTCTAAATAGCGATTATGAAACTGTTTGTTTTTTAACTAAAAATGTTTTTACATTTTTGTTTTTCAGGTTGTCGCCCCATTCTACGCATTTTGGTTAAATTTTTCAACTCGTCGTTCCTTTGCTTGGCTAGATAAATATAATTTGAGAGAAGCTGATGATAGACATACTGCTCGTTATATGGAAAGGGAAAACAGAAGGGAAAGGACACAAGGCAGGAAAAAAAGAAATGAAGAAGTTCAGGTTAATTTTAAAATAAAAATTTTTTTCTTTTGAAACGAGGCCGTATCTGGGTGATTGGGCCAAAAAAATTTATTTTTAGTTCCCACCCTGAAATTTTTCTATCCTTCGTTGTTAAATATTAGCATAAAAATAAGAGAAATTTATTTTTAGAGATTAGTAGAATTTGTTCGTAAACATGACAAACGAGTCGAAGTCGCTAGACAACGTCAAGCTGAAAGAAATGCTTTTATCATGAAAAAAGTTGAAGAACAGCAACGACAAGCTATCAGAAAAAATTTGGAGTAATAAATATTTTTTTTTAGTTATTTGATCACTCTTTTTTATTTTAGAGGCCTAAAGAACTTTGAAATCGACACGGAAATTCAGAAAGAACATTTAATGGATCTTGAACAAATTGAGGCTGAATTGGATGCTGCTTTTGGTATTGTTGAGAATAAAAAACATGAAAATGAAGGAGCTAGTGATGAGGAAAACCTTTCTGATGAAGATGACGAAGAACAATTTTATTGTATTGTTTGTGAAAAATCTTTCAAATCAAGGTTGATTTTTGTTTTTTTTTGGTGATAATGAAACGTTCGATACGTTTTTTCAAGCTGGGTTTTAACGAGCCGATTTTTTCTTCCGAGTTAATGTAAGTCGCTATGTCGACTGCCTTGTCTCTTTTTTTAGTTTAGAGGATCTCCTTTTTTATTTTTTACAAGAGCAGAGGTCTGTCAACCTCTGCTCTTGTATTTTAAACAAAGTTTACAAATCCTCGTCTTCTAATTTATTTTGACCTGAATTTCCTAAGTTCCATCAATCTTCATTTTTTATTCATTTAATTTTTTTCTATTTAAAGAAATGTTCTGGAAAGCCATCAACGCTCAAAAAAGCATCGCCAAATGGCCGAATTATTAAAAATTCACATGTGTGAGGAAGATCAGAAGCTCTTTGATGGTGCTCAAAATCAACATTCTGATGATGAAAATGTTGAAGAAAAGACAAAAGAAAATAAAAAGACGAAAAAGAAAAAGGAAAAGAACGAGCCTAAAATAAATATAGAAGAAGAAGAAAATTCTAATAAAAATATTGAAGAAATTGGTAATAATGAAGAGGAGGAAGGTCAAAAAGAAGACGAGTTAACTGAACAGGAAAATAATATCCCTAAAAAGATGACAAAAACAGCAAAAAGGAAAGCTGCTAAACAGGCACTAAAAACTGAGGTAATCCTTGGGACAACCCTGAAGACCTTCAACTTTTGATAGGAATGTAGAGGTATTAAGGGTATATGGAGATAAGTACCCAGTTTAGAACTGGGTAACTTTTTTTAGAATTCTAGAACCGATGGTCTGGTATCGTGAATAACTCCTGGGTGAATCTCTATCCTTTTCATTCACACCAAATCCATCGATAACCCCTTAATTCCCACCAAATTCCTCAATATTCTTGATGTTCCCTTTCAAAAGGTGTACGTCTTTAGATTCAATAGATCTTTAGGATGGACTCTAATCTGTTAATTATAAAGATTGTAAATGTTCTCTTTTCACTTTAATTTTCTTTAATTATTTTTTTAGCAAAAGAAAACACTTCCATCAGGCCCTGTTGCTTGTGAATGTCACACTTGTGGTGAAGAATTTGATTCTAAAAGTAAACTTCACATTCATTTAAAACAAAGTGGGCATGCGATAATTAAAAGTGTTATTAATCCTCCAGTAAATAGTGGAACAAATAAAAAAGCAGAAATGAAAAAATCCAAGAAAAAGTGATAATTTAATTAGATTTACTTGTCTTTTTTCCCCATTTACTATTTTATTTTTTGTGGGCTTTTCTCTGTATATTAGGGCTATATTCTAAAATTTATTTGCTTCAATTTATTTTAAAAAAATACCCAAAATTCTATCTTTGTTGATAAATTTATTTTAAGAAAATTTATTTTTTAATGATTATTTGAGTTTTTAACTTTAAATATTAATAATTATTTTTATTTTTAAAATAATAAGGTTTATATAAATTCAAAATTGCCTCTACAAGTAAATTGGGGAATTGTGAACTTCAATTATTCGCTGCCAAATTGAGATGGGAAGAACACATCAAATAAGAGTGGTGAGGTTTATATTTTTAGTATTGAGAAATTTTCAAAATTTTTAGCCAAAGAACTTGAAATAAATGTAATAATTCTGATTTTTTGAAACAAAAATAAAAGTTATTTTTCTCATTATATAGTATATTCAGATCCAAATCTCACTGTTAAAAATATTTTATTTAAACAATTCTTTTTCAGCATCTCCAATATTTGGGATTTCCAATTTGCAACGACACAATTTACAATAATTTTGTTTGGGGTCCATTAAAGGGTAAAGGAGGTGATTATGGAGGGAAGTCTATTGAACAGGTACTAAATATAAAAATTATTTTTTAAAATTTTTCCCATTTAAAGTTAAGAAATTATGTTATTAAACAACACGATAAAAAATCTTGGATATCTGAAGCAGATCCAGATTATGCTCAAAGACTTAAAGAAATTGGGGAAAATGATTTGGTAGAAAAATTTTTTATTTTTGAGGGATGAAAGAAGTACAAAACAATTTCTGAAATTTTCGATAAAAAATTTTTTTAATTAAAAAAAATTAATTTTTAATATGAACATGATCAATACCTAAAGTGGATTTTAGCGAAAGGAAGAATAAATGTAACGGTAAGGAAGGGAGATAAGAGAATTAAAGAATTCGTCACGTAACAAACGACGGCCATTTAAGCGCTTCCTTGGACTAAAATGAAGTATTTTGACAAGTATTGATGCTGGATTTTTTTCTGGAGAATAAGAACATTTTTGTTAGAATAATTAACTGGAAATATATTGGGCAGGCGATTTCCCCAAAAAAACATTCCAGCAATATTTCCTTAAAAATGCGTCAAATGTGATTCACTAAAACAAAGTTTTTTTCCTTTTCAGCTAATTTTTCAATGAATTTTCCAATATATTTACATAACAAAAACAGCTCTTGAAACGGATAAACTGCTTGAAATATAATAAATGGTTTCAAACCCCTC